TTATTTTGTTAGATTATTTCAACACCATTGAGGAAAATACGGACCTGTACAATCTCAAGTTTGGGCATGTTGTGCTTTTTCTGGGCGTAAATGGACTACGAATGGGGTATAGTTTCGGTGACGATCAGTGGACGTTCATCTTTTTTTCATACAACGGCTGTGGCAGTCATATTTTTTGCTCTATACGGAAGTTTTCAATTGGGTATAACTACGGACTGTTATTGTTTTTGCGTGTTGCCGATACGTCATGAGATTGTACTGCGTTAAGACAACATCAAATTTGTGACATCTGTTTCCCTGTAACCCTTTATTTTCTAATATAACATAGTAGGTGGTACATTTTTGAGCCGACCGTCAAGTAATTCTTGGCATTTTCTTACAGACAGAAATATGTTTATAGTTTTTGTTAATCGGTCCTGTTGCGATAGAACAATCGTCAAAAAAAAACTAATCAATTATTGGTCCTTCTATAATTTGGAAAGTATCACTGGATTTTGAAGAAATTTTTAAACTCTCCTAAACCTGAGTTCATCTTTTTGTTTCTGATGATTTTGAACGCAATCAAAAATGTCCTTAGAGAAGACAAAATTCAAAAAGAAGTCGAACTTTCTTGATATACTGTATTCTAAGACGTATTCGAGAGTTTATTTGAAGGATTCAAAGACTGCGAATTCCGCCAAAACTCGTTTTTCACATTCTAATCATCCAGTCACTTTTGTATAACTCCGAATACAATACGAGATGTGCAATCCGAAAATTCGTGAAGTGGAATATGCGTTGAAAACTCATTAGAAACTTCTGTTACAATATGTTATCTAGAAACGTCAAAACTTATTCGATCAGCCCAACTATCTAAATGTAATCCCTTTGTAATATAAATTGTACAAAACGATTTATATATTGTTTACAGTGAATGCAAAAGCCCCTTACCTCGAAATAAAAAAATTCTGGGTAACTGTTTCATCAAACGTTATGAGTTATGAGTCTATAGAAGAATTGAGAAAGGGATGAAAACAAATTGAAAAAATCGTTCATTTTTTGCTGAAACATACATAAGAGTAAATATGAAATAGTAGCAAAGGAGATTTATACATTTTAGAAAATGCATTTGAAAAGCTTCGATGCTTCCACTATTTCCAGAGATACACGGAAAGGAGAACGAATTCTCCCAAAATCGTTTCTAATTTTTTCTGAGTTTATTTTAGATAGGATTTCAAAATAAACTACACATTGACATTGTCACTTTTTGATCTCTCTAAGGTGTCATAAATAGAACATGACTATGATTTTTTTGTCTTTTTCCCCCGGCATGGGTACCATGTCATCTTGCAAACTAGGTAGTTTTTAGGGCGCAAACAGTCATTCCACGTTTGCTCAGTAGGATCGTTGTGAACGTCCATCTAAGGAGGAATCACTCAACTAAACTAAATGCATTATTGGTTGCATATGTTTTGTAAGGCCAAATAGTCCTTGTCTGTAGTTTTTATCTCTGAGAAGAAAGTTGGTTGAATAGCAAGATCGCATCTGGATGATTATGTGTATTGGTCTGCATGTGTATAAAATCAGTGATATTTGCTGTGTGAGAAAATCATTACTGAATATGCTGCCAATGAAGTATATCTATTGGCTGTGTCCGACGGGTTATTTTTATGTTGTGCTTTCGGAAGAGAGGTTATGTTCAAAGTTATAAATTACGAAAAACTGAGGAGAATTACGGGAAATCATCACCGCCCCCGCGTTGTGTGTAATTACTGTTAGCATGTAATATGGTTTGTAATTCGACAGTGTACAGTGAATATAATTATTTCTTATCTCTCTCATTTTTGAAATTCAGCAAATTTGTATATGTAATTTCCAGAATGGATAAGAAAAATGGGATGCGCAACTAATTTCTAGCTTTGAATCTCTATTGAGTGTATTTGAGACAAAAACCCAATGTAATTATCATCAACACATACAACTTACAGCTTAGACCTTCAGTAATGCCATCTCAGAAGCAGATTTTACAATAACATCAGAGCCAAAGATTGATAACAAGCATCATGACGTTTAGGCAACACGTACAACTAATTGCTAAGTTAATATCTTGTAGAAAAACCTACATAATGTCAAAAAAACCAGCATAATGTCAAAAAAAAATCGGCATAATGTCACTTTTCAAGATACGTGATACCCGTGCGGGCTCATTGATTTTTCTTACGTATGCCATTTTTGCATAGGAGGTAGCTTTTAATTCTGATTCCAAATATTATAGCATGACATACATTATTATAAAAAAACTTCTTGGGTAAGCGTTGAAATTATCATTAGTCATTTATTTCATAGAATATCAAAAACGATAACATGTTACGCATTGATATAAAACTTCAAGTGCCTAACTTAATATAGTTAGTTTAAACTAATCGAATGAGGAACAACATAACGTAACTCATTTATTATTTAAGGGTAACAATGAAGACATCTGAAACGGTATAAGTTTAAAAAACTAAGAGCTGAAACGTCGAATCGAAGTTCTAATTATGTAGAAGAGAAAAAGTGGTATTGTTATCGTGTAATTTGTTTGAAATCTGTAGACAATGTAGATGTTTGAAAAGTTGGATTCGGACTAAGCCCAGGAGAAAAATAAAAACGACTTAGGGTAAATTCGGAAATACTTTTAATGTCCAAACTGTCCAAGGTAGATTTTTTCACTTACCTACGCTACTTGCCCCCCATAAACTACTCGTCGTCGAGGCAAATGTCAAAAGATCAGTATTTATAATGTTAGGCAGAAATCCACACATGGTATAAACCACATTAAACATTGATCGTGTGACATTCACTTTACCGTTTTTGAGATCCCAAAGGCGCGGTATGAATTTGAAACACACGCGTAACATATACTCGTATAGTGCTTTTAGCAAAAATAAGTATATATATATATATATATATATATATTTACACAGAACTCAACTAATCCTAGTAATTTCTGATCTAATAGATATTGATTCAGCTTGCGGAGGACCGTATACATGAATAATTTATTTTTTGTAAAAAAATGTTCTCTCCGTTTATTTTTTGAGGAGCTAGGGAAAAGGGGGTAGCTGCACCCTTGGCCCTCCCTACTGGATACGCCCTTATTATCGTTCTTATGACATTTCAATAATAATATAGATACTCAATGCCGCACATTTTATCTTGAAGTAGAAAATGAGTAATGTCTGGTAGCCCTGGAATCTTACTCTAATCAACGTTTTGATTGATGTGAAACCACACTAGAAGGAACAAAGAACCTGAGCTACCATAAAAATCAATGGATGTGAAGCCACATGTGAAAACTCTGTACTCAATACTAATGCCTATTTTGTGTTCTCCCAGTGAACTTTGATCTCTCTCTCTATCTGCCCAACTTTCGTCACAACACCATTGCTTCATCATTACCAACCAACCACCGACAGCCAAAAGATATCAAAATCGAATTTTCGTAACTTTATGTCATAGCATGTGATGACAGTGACTAATCGACCAATGAACCACTCACATGATTGTACGAATGTTAATTTTATTTGTGCGATATTCCAAAAGGGACATAATATATTGCTATTGCGCGAATAAAATGGATGGTGCTGGATTTTTTACCGATTCCGATATCTGGGCAATTAATTTAAAAGCTATCCAGAGATTTTAAAATTCAGAAGCAAAAATGATGGCGCCAACTTAGACAGTGGCGGGTATTTTATATTCTGCTAGACGTTGTTCGATCGAGAGTTGCTTAAAACATCATATAAACTCTTTCTATTTCTTGGGATTTGTGGTTATTTCTTTAAATATGCATCTGGAATCGGTCTAAGAGGGACCAAAGTTATTTCACAAGTAGTTCACAAGAAGGACCTCAAAGTTGGACCTTCGTACTTTTATACAGCGTAGGTTGTTATTTAATTGTATACCTATATGGTAGATATATGTATTACTAAATTTCGGATTTTCGCGGAACAATGGGAATACAATTATAATTTTTTAACAGCGTTTTTGCCCAATAACGATTAGCAAAGGTAGCTTTGCTTTAAGAAACGGTTGTATTTTATTGTTGTCTTTTTATTTTGCAGTTTTTTCTTGACTAAATGCATCTAACAGGGTACACTTTTTGCATATTGATTCGAGATGAACAAAAATAGATAATGTCTTAGCTGATGATCTAAAAGGTTAGTAATAAGTGCTTAAGTTCAGTAATTACTGAAACACAGAAAATATTCCAGTCGCAGCTTCTTGAAGGTTCACTTAAATTCTGTAATACAGGATATTAATAAAGTACCTGGCCAAACATCAATAGGTGATTTATTCTTTAAGAAGTTCCGGTTATGCTTCGTTTTCAAGACACACCCTTCTTTGAAAAATATTTTTTTCTTAAAAATCTTGATAACCCATACGTGATTTTATGAAAACTTGTTGATATTTAGATTGGATCGAATAAGAAAATCGAGTCAAAGAATCCTAAAGCCCCTAAAGAAAATATTTAGATGCCCATGAAAATTTGAGGATTTGGTAAAGCGCTTTCAATAAATTACTTCAATTAAATTTTCAACGATACGTCTGTACCTAAATTTCCACAAGTTTTAACAAAATCAGCTTAAGGCTCAAAAGAGCCAGGGAGCTATGTTTATATGATCTTGCATAAGATAATTTATCAACACCCTGTATATCTGAAGTAAATTGTGGAAGCTGAAAGGGATGGTGGTGTACCCACCTACGCCACTGGCTTATACCGGTTACCTTATCTCCCGTTACTAATTGTTTATCCGGCGATAACACAATTTCAAAGACTACCTCAATAGACATGCTTCTCGTTGATGACTGGGTAGGGGAACCGCTTTACCAGGGCAGAGTACAAACCCACTATATCTATAAGATGTTCGGTTGTTATTCTAAAATGTTTATTCAATTCGTGTAGCTTTACTAGAGCGGTCGTGTATAACCGATCATCGCGCGAAGAAGTGCCAATCGTACACACACGGTCGGGCAAGATGCCTTTCGTTCTATCCGAGAGCTTATCCCGGGCCACGTGGTCCAGCTGCGAAAGCATCCATGCAGGAAGCACTGCCAGTGATTCCGGATTTGGCAGTCCCTACTCCCCGAACTCCTTCTCACCTATCTCAACTTCCCCGGATAACACGTTGAGAAAGAGGAGGATACGTCGCTGCTCCAGCTTGAACAGTGTCATCCAGGAACCCTTCGTGATCAGATCTGATGCTAGAGAGTCTCGCAGCCAAAGTCCCGTCAATGGCCAGGAGGAAGAAGCGGATTTGCTCGCACTACTCTCAAACGTCATAGGATGGTACCCGTGTTTCTTGCTCAGGGTGATCAAAGCTGTGGTGTTAGCTGTGCTACCGCAAACCTGGACCCAGTTGTTCTTCGCTCTACCGATGATCTGGATCTCCATTTGGATTTGGGTTTGTACGCAGTTCCTTCAGCTCCCTTTGACGTGCACTAGACTATTGCTCTCCATCATCATATCTCCTGGTACTCCAAGGAACAGTAAGAGAAGAACGGTGTTAATAAGTGGAGGTAGTACGATCCAAGCACTTCATCTTGCTAGAAACTTTTATTCGGCTGGCGCTAGAGTAGTTGTTTGCGAGATTGATGGACTTTTCGCGCTCTCCAAATACTCCACGTCAGTTAGCAAGTTTTACACGGTACCTAAACCTACAAGTGACCAACAACAGAACTATGTGAGAGCGCTGTGCGAAATTGTCGACAAAGAGCAAGCTGTTTATTATATTCCAGTCTGCTCTTCAACCTCAGCATATTATGATTCAGTGGCCAAGCCTCATTTAGAGTTGCTGGGTTGCACAGTCTTCTGTCCGGGTATCAAAGAAGTTTGGGTATTGGACGATACCCTGGAAGTACTCAAACGCTGCCAGAAATATCAAATACCCACTCCCTCATACCACGTGGTTACCTCCAAGGGAGACGTGATGAAGCTATACGATACAGGAGAAATTAGAAAAGGGATCCATATCATGGCGACCACTGGACCCAGAGGCTTGAGGGAGAGGTCAAAGATCGTCCTGCCTTTATCTAAGAGCGAGCTGAAAATTCCTGCGGATGTCAGCGAACAGAAACCGTGGGTCGTAGTACAGAATCCAGAGGGTGAGCACTATCTCACTTGCACAACTGTCAAAGAGTCCCAAGTAGTGGCAAACGTCTCTTGCCAAATGAACAAAGACAACAACAGTCTCATTCCTACAGAAAATAGGGAGATCAATCAATGGGTATCAAACTTCTTTTCCAAGCTGCAGCTCTTGAGGCCGATCTCAGGACACATCAGCTTCAGGTTCGTAATACCAAAAGATTCCTCAACTGTGATACCTTTAAGTAGCAGGGTGGGCGTCTCCCTACCATACATTTGTTACACAAATGTTCATCCAAGATTGGTATGGAAACCTTGTAGACATTTCAGGAGGCAGAACTCGGGACCTCTGGTGAACGATAGTGAGGTCTATAAGATATCAGAGGTAATTTCGAGTACGGTGAAAAATCCGTCACTGCAGTCTGCAACTAGGCTCATTGGCACTGTCCTAGACAAAAGAGAAGCTCTATTCGCACTTTGGGATCCTTTGCCTTATTGTGCCTACTACCACATGCAGTTGTCTTTCAAAAATATTTTGGCCTTTATGCAAGGCAGGCACGAAAAATTTCAGTTACCAGTGAGTGATTCAACGTAGGAATTCTCCAATTTCTCCAGGAGAGAGAAACAAGCCTGAAGTGACATTCCTAAGACTTTAATTGAACTTAAAAATGCATTCGCTTACGAACTATTCCATTTAGCTCAAATAGCTGACAAACGAAAACTAAAAAACTCCTTTTTTATGTACTTAAAGGATTATCGACCCTGAAGGCACACATGAGTTTATGTTATAGAAGTAGAAATTGAACCGTCCATTTTAGAGATTTTGTCAAAACTATAGTTGTCATCAAATTCGTCAGATCTTTGCACACCGCCTGAGGTAATAAAGATGGAATAATAAAATACGTTTTATAATGTTTATATCAAATTAAATACTCAGTGACTGAACTATGCAAAGATTACATTGCTTTTATTAAACAGACTGCATCGTCAATTGAAGGACATCATAATATGTATATACGGGCGTGAATACTAAAAACAGTCTCAGCATGTTATAAATGTTCTTGGTAGATTAATTTTTATTGCAACATCCTGTCTGTGTTAGTAATTCCAACAGTTCATGAACTTGAACTGAATGATTGTGAATTGTAGTTATCACCCAAATGTACAAAAAATTATGTATAAATTTTCTGTATGCATGTTAAATGTTGTCTTGAAGAATTTAAATCTATATGGTCATTTTTTCTGAAAAATGAGTTTGTGTTTGGTACTAAAATCTTTTTGAGAATTAGTTATCAGAAACACAATTTCAAATTTTTGCAAGGTTTTATGTTACTTAAACAACGGTTATAAATTATTTACAATCAGGAGATACGGTCTTTAAAAATTTCAAAGAATGAAATTGTTATAACAAAAGATCACCATAAATTGTTTAATAGCATTTTATAATAGATGCGTTATTAATTTTTTTTTCTGAGCTAACTGTAGCTGCATGGAAAGTTTCTTTCAGTGATTGTATTTATTCCGCGAATCTTGAGCAACGCAGACGATCGATGTTTTTACTCTGAGATAGATAAGAGTGTTGTTATAAAAAATATTTATAAATAGCCTTATCTCAGAGATTGTTGTAATTTATGTTCTAGAATGCGAATGGGCACGTTTTTCGTTGATCTTTGGATTTCAGAAAAACATGAAAGCAATTCTAGATATGATGTTTATCAAAGAAGTAGCAACAACTTGTTGGTGATATTTGATTAAAAATTGTATATCCTCATTGAATGTCTAATCCTGTGATCTGTAGTATATCACAAAGTTATACAAAATATTTGCTTAATGTTCTGTTTAAGCAGATTCCCTAAAATTCTTGTTCTGTATAAAAGTAAAAATGTAAAAATTCTAACTCAAGATCAAGAAATTGGAAGCTGTGATTACATCATATTGTTTCCATTATGGTCAAATGTTTGCCATTGTATCAGTGGTTTCCTGTTTTGTATATACGCTTTATAATAATTTTTGTACATATATGTATAATTGTTGTAAATAATAAAGTACCTTGTTTTTGATACATATATTGTTATTTATTTCACCCAAATAGCCTATCATCTAGAGGTCTTTATGAAAGTACCAAGAAACTGATTTTCTCCTGAAATGTCTAATGTCACTTCTTGGTCAGTTGATAATACCAAATTTGCTAAAAAAGTTTATTGTATTTCAAATGTATATGTGCAGGAGTAATTTAAGAGAATATCTAATGTACCTGAACTATTAAAACGACCTAGAAAAATTCATTCATGTATACCTATCGATAGACAGCAGTATAATAAAGCGGACAGATAGATGAGAGACATGCGGGCCACAGCCATGAGTGATATATGATTCTTCGTTGTGTTGATGCACCAAAAAGTGGCACAAATTTAAAATGTTCCACAATTGCACTACATTTTCTATACTGGCACTCCTCCACTTCTAATACCCTACTCTATTTGTACAAGCGCTAAAATATTTTGAATTTTCATATTATATTTCATGGCAAGGTCAAAAGCTCAATCACAAAAAAATGCATATAAACCTTTAACTTGCAGTTTTTATCTTCAATGTACAGAAACAAAGGTTAAAGATCAAAAGTCATTGCGATTTTCAGTTCTTCTTTAAATTATGGTGAAAGCGTAGATTCTCTAGACTCCAGACGTCTAGACCATTCCTGTCCAACAGGTGGGCCATGTTTAGTATTTTCGTAACCACAGCGGGCCATTATTTCACTTATAATATTCAGGTAGGTACTCTTAAAATCTAATCGATGAGATGTCTACATGTTTTCTGATGAAGAAGATGATCTCGTTTTTGATTTGTTATATTTCATGCGGGAAAACTGCTAGCAAATATATGTACTACCGAATAACGAAATTTAGTAAGGTTTGGGTATTGGCTGGGTATTATATATTTTTTGCAAAATCCAATTAATTCGTTTGGAAGACAACCATTGTATGCCGTTTTTAGATGAGAACCACTTTGTAATTCAATTAATTCTGTAGTTCCTGTTTAGGCGGGTATCCATTTGTAACATATTCGGCTCGTTGTAAGATGACACGATTGGGTCCGGAAGTATTTTTGAATTTTGGATGAGAGTTGTAACTGGCTCGCGGGCCGGATATAGACTATGCGGGCCTGGTGGTGACCCGGGGGCCGTATGTTGGACACTCCTGCTCTAGACTGTATATTTTTATGAAGAAGCTCCAAAAAATTTCTAAGTGAGAGATTAAAATTTTCAGTTTTGAAATCATTATTATAACGCTAAAAAGTACAGCTCAACTCACCAGAATGTTATATCTAAAGAGGAATTTTCATCTTGTAAACTAGACTGTGTAATCAAATTTATTGTACAAAAATCGAAAGTAAAACAGGAGCAGTTGTAATGCGGTTCACATTATTCCAAAAGCATCCTATATTTAACTGTAGAACTTTCTACAGTAAATTGTATCTGCTACTCTATCACATAAAGGAGATCTTCATTCTTTCAGCGTTAAACAGTGTGGAGGCAGTTTCACAAAAAGTTATCTATTGCCGATGAATGCCCCAAGCCTCCCCCTCCTAAGAAACATTCCTGCTAACGCCGTCATCCACGGCAGTACGGCAGCCACTACTGACTACGAAACACAGACACCCATGGGCCACACTGCGACGCACGTATATTCAAAGACGCATCTGTTGGAAATATTTCTCCATCAACGTTTTAAGGGCAAATGTACGTAAAATCTATGATGTGCGAGATATTTCTAATAAGTGTGTAGAATTATCGTAGTTGGGAGCATATAGATATGAGTATACTAATATCAAAAAAATGGAATATACCCTCACCATCCTCTCAACCCCTAATCCCCAATTCTTAACCAGTTTAAAATTGTTCTTGAAAATGATGAGGAGCGTCTGAAATGACAACAAAAAAACAAGGTTCGAGAGAATTTTCTTCTTTTGCCCCTAGCGCCGCCGCCACGGACCGATTTTACTTTCCAAGTTAAAGACCAGCAAAGGATTAGCGCACAGACCGACAGACCGACGAAAATGATTGACACAGGTTCTCGTGATGTACCAGCCATATAACATCCAAAAAACATAATATCTCGTTTTCGGCATTTTTCGCCAGTACAATACTTCGTTGCCAGTGGCGTGGGAAGTGAGAAAGTGTATGATACATACATTTTTGGAATTAAAAAATTAAAAACTCTATTTATCTGTGCAAAAATCCAATATAGCGTCCGTAATAAAAAATAAAGTTGATGCTGGAGGACAAGAGACGAAACGTCATATTGAATTTTTAATTATGCCACCTTGGAGAGAAGAAAAAGCGGCGATGTTAATGTGCAGTTTACTTGAAAATCCCACTACAAATAAAATCAGGGAAAAATTAAAAGGATTTTGGAAAAATTCGGGTTTTCCATCTCTCTGTGGACGTACTTTGAATTTCGAAACCTTCTAAGCTGCATTTGCAATGATGGGTGTCAAATTTAAAACACCCAGTATATATGCCAAAGTTCTTTAAAAAATGTTATTTATGAGTTATGTACCAAAACATGTCAATGCTTCGTTGCTAAATAATTTACGAGTTAAAAAATACGACTACATCAAAACTAACTTATTTTTTGGACAATATTTGTTAGTCTTTCTATTAATTCGTACGCTACTAGCGAGGAAGTATTGTAACCGCGGAAAAAATCGACAATGGAATATTAGTTTTTTTTGGATGTCATACACCACAAAAAACCGTGTTACTCATTTCCGTCGGTCTGTCTCTTTGTGGGGGTGTCTGTTTGTCCGCTGATCCTTGGCCCGTCTAAGTAAGTACTGCTCGGAAATCCTGTCCCCATATGATTTTTTTCCTTTCCTTTTCCAGCTTGGTAAAATCCAAATTTTATTAAAATCTGTTCAATATGACCATGATGACACAGTTAGGTAAGAATTTAGATATATTTATTTCACTACTATGCTCATTGCCTTATGGAGCACGCTATATAGTATATACCTAGCTGATATGACAAGAAGAACATATTGCGTTCAAAATGATCGGTAATTATTTGTAATTTAAGTATCCATTGGACATTTAATGAAAAAAAAAATAAACAGTAAAGTTACAAACCTTTCGTAAGAATTACCGGCTCACTTTACATATGTATATGCTTAAAGAGCGGGGGGTAGTAAATTTTGTCATGGGATGCCAAATCCTGAAGTCACCAAAATTGTGCACAAAATAACACCAAATATGCAAATTTTAATTATTATGTGGACCTGTTTGACTGACTTGACCATTTAATTTTTTGTTACACCTGTTCGCAGCTTTTTTTTCTCTGATTGGCTAACTTGCGCCTAATATAATCCTTTATCAACTGATGAATGACAGCGTTGCGTTGCAAGAGCAGAGTCATTTTTTGTTTTTCAAACCGCCGCGAGAAACCGCAGGTATTTGTTCTGCTAAATAGAACCAACGTATTTATAAATATATATTTTTAATAAGAAGAAATACTGGTCTATGGAAATAAACATTTAAGTGTCAATAAAATATTTTTGTCAAAATAGTTCATACATATTTACTACTTCCTTGTTTTG